AACCTGGTCTAGTGGAAGGTGTCCCTGCTGCTGGCAGGGGGGGTGGGACTGGATGATTTTTAAGGTCCCTTCCAACCCAAACCAGTCTGTGATTCTATGAACTGCTGAGTTTCTTTAATTCCTGCTTGCAAGACTGGATGTGACCTACACATTACACAAAGGACTCAGAGCAGAACTGAAGAGCATGATGCAAGAGTGAATATTACCTTGGGCAGTGATGCCACATCTGCAATGCCAGTGCTCAAACCTTACAGTCACCCCCGAATGACTATTCATGCTCATGAACTTCTGACCGCTGCTCTGAGCTTTACCAGCATGATCACAGCACTCCTCTATGGGCAGGGCATATCATTTTGCAGACAGAGGAAGCAGAGGACCATTATGGGACATGGTTTAGTGAGGGACTTGTCAGTGTTGGGTTCATGATTGGACTCATTGATCTTAAAGGTCTTTTCCAATCGAGGCAATTCTGGGCTTCTGAGGTTATCAGCAAAGGCTCAGACACTCAAAGGTCTTAGGGTGTCTACACCACTTGATCTTAGGGTAGGTGATACCCTGAAGTCACACAAAGTAAGACTGCAGCATTGGAGGTGCTGAGGCCTTGAGATAAGTCTGTTATCATGAAACTCAGGAGGACATCTGAGAAGATTAAAATGAACAGGTCAGAACTGAGACCAGATGATGGTTTTAGGAAAAGGACAAATCTCAGACCAGCATCCATGGCTGCTCCTGACAACTGACAGTTTCAAGGTCAGACAGCAGGGACAGGTAACCCAGACATTGCAGATGTTTGCTAATAAACCTGTTGCTCTCCCTTGGGCACCTCTGGGTGGATAACAGGGAGATGGGCAGATCTCCCGAAACTGAAGAAGGTTCAGGAAAATATCTGCCATCAGTTTGGTGCTTTAGTGGCTTGAGGAAGATCTTGGAGCCCCTAAGAGCAACCTCTTGCAGCCTGATGTTGTCTGCTGGGATCATCCAAAAATTGTTCAATTTGGGACATGGGAATGTACTGTATCTCAGGTATCCCTATACCTCAGATGTTCCTCCTGGGAGAGGATGATCTGCCTTATGGATGTACCTATCTCCCCTATCCCTGGGGGGAGATTTTTCACTAGCTCGTAGCAGCCACTTGACCATGAAAGGGCTCAAATGAAGTGAGACAGATCCTGATCCCAAGAGAAGACAATGGATGAGTGAGGAAAAGGTAGAAAGCAGCATCATCCAGGCTTGGTCTCAGGCTGTCCCTCTCTAAAGTGAGGAGTGGGGACAACAAAGATGCAGCGGAAAGAGGTGCATGTTCCTCTGTGTCCCCTTGCCACGAAGAAGAAAGGTATGTGAGCAGTTGTGAGCTTGTAAATAAGCCTCCAGAGTTTGTAGGGCTAGTTCATGGCACATATGGGCAACTGTGAGCTTCCTGGCATCAGGGCCTGATGAGACACCCATGTTACACAGGCTGCTGGGTGCAGTTTTGACTTTCTTTGTGTGTTTTGTTACCTAATTCATCCCATCCATTTCTCTTGCACTAACCAGAGCAGAGCAATGCTCAGAAAGAAGAGTGTGGGACAATGTCCAGACCCAGAGAACTCCAGCAGCATCCCAATGCAAACAATTATTATTTTTTTTTCTTCCCTCAAAGCACATTTTAGGAGGAAGCAAAAGTTTTAAAATAACATAAAGTAACAAACAGCCAGGACTTTCCACTGACCTTTCACTTCCCACTATCCCATTTCCTATCACTATCAGTACACTTTCCTTCAAAGTCAGGGACAGAAAATGAACTCCCAGAAAATGTTCTCTTTCGTAGTCACCCTGCACAGCTCTGTGTCCCATTGTCTGTTGTTTTGGGTTTTTTTTTTTCCCTTTGATTTATTAAACCAAGGCCAAAAATAAATTTAGCAAGAAATCACATTTCATATCTCATAGCACTACAGTCCCTGATTTAGTGTTTGCTCATCCACTCATGACTTTAACGGGGAGATTCATTTCTCTTTGTCTAATTCTTTCAAACTTATAGCTGGTTTGTTTTTTTTTTTGTCCCACTGTAAGTTTTGTAGATAAATGGGGTGGACAGAGACTTCTGGCTTAGAGTTTGCAAGAGCTGATGAAATACAGATTTGCTACGCAGGGGACAAAATACCAGACCAAATCTTAGGACATCCAGGTAAAAGCAGCTCGAAGTCAGCGCATTTGGAACAACTTGTTACTGTCAGTTCAGGATGTACACCTATTTTTCAACATCGACCACGTCCTTAAAGAAGGTCTTGGTTTGATCTCAGCTCAGATGATAATCTCGGATCAGATATATTGTTAAATATTAACCCAAGGTATTCCATTAATGTGTTATTAGGTGCCTTTTTATGCTCACCAAAACCAGGATAAGGGCACAGTAAACTGCTCTGAGAGACCCACTAAACCTTTCACTCCACATCATATTATTTCACTGAACAGCAAACATAAGTTTCAGACACTGCTTGTACATAAAAGCTCTGAAATTCAGTATTTGATGCTTTTTTGCACTCAGTTGAGCTTTGCTAACAGACACTGACTTCAGCAAAGGCTCCAGTTTTGGTTAGATTAACTGTTACCAAAGTTATTTCAACATAGTGCTGAAATTCTTATTAAATAAAGCTCTTCCTCCCCAAATATTATCACTATTAAGAGTAGTGAGCAGCTGACAGTGATTGCTAACACACCAGGGTTCAATCCTGCAAGGTGCTGACTGTGGAATTGGGGTGTTCAGCACCCACTTTATCATCTACATTTCACTGCAAAACTCAGAGTCCCCTGCACGAGCAATTTGTGTTTGGGGGATTTACAGCCATCTGCTTCCCTTTCATTTCATCCTTAAAGTTTGTGCCCAGAGTGTTTTTTGTTTTAGAAACAACTCTCTGGGAACAGAAGCAAAATAATCCCTCTCACCTTTCCTCTGTGTTATTTTGTCTCTTTTTTTCTCTGCTTTTAGAATTGCTTTCATAATTGGTGCTAAAAAAACCACCCCAAAGTAAAAGAACAAATGATTGAAAGGATCTAATGGGGGTAAAACAGAGTGAGATTCCTTGGAAGCAAAGATTTTGTAGAAAATACCTATCAGAAGGGGATGACTTTTAGGAAACACTGGACCCTGCAATAGGACCAAACCCAGAATCCAGCTCAATAAGTCTCTAGTAGGGAGAAGCCTACCCCCTACGGAAATTCAGAGGCATTTCCTATAGGAGAAAGGGTTGCAGGGTGAATTCCTCGAGGTTGTCCTTGGGAAGAAATGCAGTGGAAAGAGCTCCACTCTGCCAAAATTTTTGAGGTGCTGTTGGATCATAAAGAAAGTGCCCGATTTTACCAACCCTCTGGTGACTCTCTTGCAGAAAGGGCTGTGGGTTGGTTTTCTAAGCACCCAGGGTCAATCCTAGCTCCATCGACTCCTGAATTTTACCGTTGGCTCTAGGGCAGAATGACCCTGCAGGCGTTCTCAATACAAAAAGCAACCAGGAGAGAAAAGCAGGACTTACCATGGGCTTCTTGTACTCATTGGGCTTGATGCAACGGACAAAAAAGGGCTGGCACACGCTGAGAGTCCTCATCAACAGCTCCAGGGACCGCTTGAACTGGCTGCTGAGCGTCGGCGAGCGCTTCCTTGTCTCTGCTCCCTGCAAAACCGCAGCGGAGCGAGTTCAGGAAATGAAAGGATAACAGTGCCTTTCCCCTCCGGCCACGTCCCCAGGAACCTCCCGTGACAGCCGGGGCTGGAGGGGGGAGCAGGGCCAGAGGTGGTTGAACGTTGCAGCAAGAGAGGGGCAAGGCAGAGCTGATGAGCTTGCAATGGCCAGACTTTGGCAACCTGCTCCATACACCTCCAACCAGGCAGGAAAAGTGCCATAATTTAATTTCTCCTGCTAAAAGCTCCCTGTGTGACTGGCAATCCCAAATACCCTATTCAGAGCTATGAGGAAGATCTGCCTTGTGAGAGAACAGCCTCTTCTGGGCCATCAAAAATCTCTGTATTGCAGCTTGGGGTGATGCATTTACCCATAGATGCTCCTAGGGAATGGCTTGGGCTTCCCTGTCCCTATGCATCACAGTATCACCATGCCAAATCTCTGTTGTGGCTCCTCATGTCAGGCTGAGCTTATCCTACTCTCCTGGGGTGTAGGATCAGAGACCCATGTAGGGCGAAAAACAAGCCAGGGACATGTTCACTGTGGGATGAATTTGCATTAGGTCCAGAAACTTCTGGTAAGGTCTATATTCCTCAGCCTGTACTGCAGGGAAGATACGAGTTGTGTTTGGAAAAGAATATTAACTAGACCCAATGAGGTGCGTATTTAGAGTGAATCAGGATGATTTTGAGTATTTTGCTTGTTTTAGCTCCCTTGGTTAAATTAATAATCCAATCTCCAGTTTGGGTCTGGAGAACAAGTCTTATGAGGAGTGGTTGAGGGAACTGAGGTTGTTGAGCCTGGAGAAAAGGAGGCTGAGGGGAGATCTTATTGCTCTCTACAACCACCTGAAAGGAGGGTGTAGCGAGGTGGGGGTGGGTCTGTTCAACCAAGGAACAAATGACAGGACAAGAGGAAATGGACTGAAGTTGCACCAGGGGAGGTTTAGTTTGGATATGAGGAAAAATTTCTTCACCAAAAGGGTTGTCAAGCATTGGAACAGGCTGCCCAGGGAAGTGGTTGGGTCACCATCCCTTGAGGTATTTAAAAGATGACATGGTTTAGCGGGCATGGTGGTGTTGGGTTGATGGTTGGACTTGATGATCTTAGAGGTCTTTTCCAACCTTAATGATTCTATGATTCTAAGTGTTTCTAAAGCAGAATGGAGACGTTTCCCTTAACAGGTCCTCCATGCCCTGGGAGAAACTCATTAAACCAGCTCCAAATTAAATGAAGCCCCCAGGTCATTTTACATGTCAATCACTATTACCTGATGTCATTACACATCAGCCACAGTGTAGTGCTGTCTCGTAGGGTCTGGTGTTCAGAGAACCTTTGTGGGGCAGCAAGTACTGCTGGTGGGTTGGAGGAAAAGTTGGATACCAGGGTACAGCTCCCTCCAAATCAAAAATAGGGCAAACTATGACATGACCTGATGGCCAAGGATTTCCCAAAGAGAGGATTCCAACAGGATTTTAATGCATGTTTCCTCCAAACATCATCTTGTTAGCAGGAGGTCAAGTAATGTGTGGAGTCACAGAATCATAGAATGGTTCTATGAGACACAAAGTCCCCATTTACACTGGTCTTGCTGCTATGTTTGCAAGGTGCTGACTTTTATTTCTACTTGTGCTAAAACTTTTAAGTGGGCTTCATTGTATAGCACTGATAACCTGTCACGTAACATCCCCACGCTCTAAAACTGAGGAATTTCACAGAATCACAGAATGGTTTGGGTTGGAAGGGACTATAAATATCATCTAGTCCAACCCCACTGCCATGGGCAGGGAATTTCAGTTTGGATATGGTGATGAGACAAGCCAAATCAACACAAACACAAAGTCATCATGGAATTCCAACAAGAGAAAACCCAGCTCATGTGCACACCAGAAAAACCTGGCCTGCTTGTCCAGGAGAGCTTGGCAGGGAGGTATCAGTGATCCCTTCCAGCAAAATCCTCCTCCAAAGGACAAACTATTAACAAATCTAGAGTAATTAATGGATACAGCTGCTACCTGCAGAGCACTGTAGAGTTTGGTGGTCACATTCTGTCACAGATTTGATGAGGAATAGGCTGTTTCAGCAAGAATCCTGGTTTTGGACAGCTTTGATTAATGTATTCTTATGACTTTACTAATTAAGTGCAAGGAGTAACCTCTGTGCAATGTGAAAGGATAGCCACAGGGGTTAGAAGCAGCAACAGATGCAGGAGCAGGGCTGGAAGTTGGAAGCAACTGCATGTTAGCCAGGTTAGTCAATTTGGGCTTGGCTGGGAGAAGTCTTTTTCAGCCAAGGGGTTAGGAAGGGTGCAAGACTTTGTACAAGGGTCTACAAGGGAATGCATGAGTGGTTTGCTCCCAGACAGCAGATCCTGCCTCCCTAGGTTGCTGATGCCTTGCATTTCTTCTGTGCATGCATCTAGATCTGATAAAAGGCAGTGGTGACATCTCCATCCTTACACCCAAGAACTTTTTGCTGGGAGGGGCTGGAGGGAAGGGACAGTGGCCAGAAAGCAGTTTGTCTTACTATCCAAATTGTCAGAGAGGTTTGGGCTCCTCCTGTCAAGACTGAAATGTCCCATCCACTCACACACTTCCTGGGCCTGATGTTTGTGCACAGACCCCTTCTGATGGTGGGCACCAGCCACATGGGAACTAACCAGGCTCCCAGCTACACAACAAAACCTCAGGTGAGTGCTTCCTCTTGCAGGGACAGGGTCACACCACTGGAGTCATGGTGGTTCCTCCCACCTTTCCTCAAGAATCACACTTCTACTGTTATTCCAACAAAATGGTCCAAAAAATGAGTGGAGCAGCCTGCCAACGCAGCCTAGCAAGGAACTGAAAACAGGTTTTACTGCAGAGAAGGAGCATTTTTTAGCACAAGACAGACCCTATCTACATAGTTCTCAGGAGAAAGAGCTGAACACATTCTGCTTTTCTCCTGACCAGACATGCCTTAGCTTTCAAACTCTGAGGCTGTAGCATCTTTGGGACACAGACTATCTCTTCACTGGTGTCCATACAGAGTGTAGCACACAGGAGGATGTGACCCTGGGGAAGAATGAGCAAGATTCACAGCTGCTATAACCCAGACTGGGGCACTGAGTAATCACTCAGCCTGTGCTCAGCATCAAAGGAAAAAAAAGCAAAGGAGATAAATAAGAAAAAATAAGAGAATTACATGATTTACAGAGAGGCACCATCTCAAAAGAGGCTGCTCAAAAGTGAAGTTCAGAAAGATGTGCAGACCAGCATGACATTCAGGCATGCTTCAATGCCACCTCTTTCTGTCACCTCAAGCCAGTCTGGCTTTAGAGGTATAGAGATGTGTGTGGCTGCTTGTGGTAACACAAAGGCAAAAGTCAAAGCAGAACATCACATCAGCAGGACACAAGGGGATATTTGGCCAGCATGGGGTGTCTGAGATCCCCAGGGGCACAGCTGGAGCATTGGGACACTTCCCAGGATCTCCGTGAAGCTGTCAAGTCTCTAGGGACCTATTCAGACTCCTTCCTTTAGTGTCTTGGACTCATTTAAGTACTTATAACGTGATCAGGGCTGAGAAAGCAATAACCAGTTCAGCCTCTGGGTTCCGTGGGTTAAGGTGGACACAAAGTTATGTTAAGTAGGGTGGTCTTAATACAGACCCAGAGTTCCAGCTAAGGAACTTTTTCTTTTTTTCTTTGTAACAGTCAAACCAAGTAAACAGCAGCAAGGAAGCACAAGGAGAAATGTCATTGAGAAAGAACTGGTAGGAGTTACTACTACTGACTCTGCACCTCCTCCTCTCACTCTAAGGAGAAGGTTGCATGGTGCACCAGGATCACCATGCTGAGCACTAGGTCTGCTGGTGAGATGGCGACCTGCTTCAGTGGAAATGCAGAAAGATTAATTACTTAAGGTGAGTTAGGGAAGAAGAGAGAAGCATGAACCATCAGCAATACTCTGGGAAACGTTCAGGACAAAGGACTATCCTCCCATCTCTTTAGGATTATGAAGTCACTAAACTGGGCCATGCCAACATGGCATGCTGTTTCTTGGGGTTTTTTCTGAACTCTGAGAAAAATGATGTTTGTTGCTTATTATTTTGTTACAGCAGATCTCACTGGGGTGGCCTCAGGTGACCAGTGAAAGTTGAGACCCTCCACAGCAAGTTCTGTGGTGGCATATAGTGAAGAGACAGTCTCTCTCCTAAAGGCTGTGCAGTCTGGGAAGTGTTTAAGCTACGGAACAGTGCTCATGAGTATCACTATTTTGAACTAAACTCCCATTTTATAACAATTACTGATGTTGATACACTTAGAAAATCTTTTCTGCCTTGGCTTGGCTGTTCCACAGTTGCCTCAATGCCTAAGGAACACAATCAACTATTATTCATTGGAAAACCTACAAAACATGGGGCTATATTATGAGAACAACTCTGACGAGAACAAAACTCATAGAAATCTTCAGTGTTATTCCTCCCATTTCTCTGTATCTCCTGGGCTTAATCTCACCATACTCAGGAAGGATTATTGTTTTGATCTGTGGCATTGCTACAACTCTAAAGCAGGGCCCAGTGAGATGTTGTTATCAAAAAAATTTGAAATTTTGATAGGAAGAAGAAGGAGTCCAACTCTGGAATAAATGGCTTTGGGTCATTTTGGGTCAGATCCCCCTCATTGGAATTCCAAGTCCAAACATCCCAAGACACTGCAGAGGCAAGAAGACAAATTCAGCCCCATGCAAGGATCTGAATTTTGAAAGTCAGGTCTATCTCTAACATAATCCTCTGGCTACTGAGTCATGGAAATGTGAGCAGAGTCACAAAGCTAATGTCACAAAAACTTTAGCACACAGTATGCTAGCCTATGGCCAAATATCTAGCAAGAAAGGTTTGGGAAGCCATCAGAACCAGTCAGGAGGTGTGATGCAATGGAAAAGACCTAAAAAAGGTGCCAAAAGCCTGTTTTGATGATCATGGCAAAGCTCAATATTAACAGTACCTTTGGTGGCTTGGATTTGAGCTCTCCTCTGAACAAGACCTAACTCTGCCCCAAGTATGATGGCATTTCCAAGCGACCCAGAAATGCAATCCAGGAGTCTGTCTTCACACATGAACTGTCAACTTCCTACTCCAAAAAAACCAAAACATGGCCAGATTTGCAGTTGCTTGGAGGAATAATGTCCCACTGAAGCCAATGATGGCACCATGATAAACAACAGCCAAATCCCACAGATGATCCATCTGAAGTTAATGAAAATGATTCAAATATCAGAAAAAATCCCCAAAACTTTGGCTCAGGCTGGTTCTGATCTTATCCAAACCAAATTCCCATGATTACAAAGTTCTTCTCAGTTGAATCTCAGAAATAAATGACATAGTCATACACCTGCATCTATTCAACAAGCTGTAAAAATGTTCTCCATCACATCAGTCACTTGAAATGGATCCTCTAAAGATAGTGCAGGAAGGGAAATAAACTGACAGAGGAAAGCACAATCCTTGTCAAGGAGAGGTGAATATACAACAAAGGAACTCATGTATTCAGTTTACCTTTGGTGTGGGTGTGGGCGACTGGCCAAATGTGCTGGATGCATAGCCACAGAGAAACTACATGAAACACAGGTTAAAAACCCAAAAAAACTCAAAACAAACAAAAAAAGCAAAAAAATAAACAGAGACAGAGAAGAGCAAATAGTGAAAAGAAGGAATAACTGAAATGAGGGCCTGACATTATTAGTCTTGGAGGTCCAGCTGGTAAAATATCTCACAACCAAAATGTGTTAATTCTTTAATTTTTGTCTATCCCTTTCTTGGCTTTTCCCTTTCGTCTTCACGTTCACACTCCTGAAGCTGAGGGAACTGCCAGTGTCCAGATCTTGGCTCTTGGAAACAACTCTTCTACATCTTTTAATCTTAATCATCATCCATCCAGTTTCAGCCACCCCCACTCCCCTCACTCACACATCTCTGCTCTCCCGTGACCAATCCTCTCAATATAAAGTGGTTGGGAAGATGCCAGGGAGAAACAATTTGTTGCAAACATTCTAAAGAAATCTCTCCCTTCCCCTCTAATTTTAATCCAACTAATCAGATAGTTTCTACAGAATTGAATTTTTTTGCCAAGGAGAAAGCCACCTGTTTGTTTTTCCCTTCATCATTTTCCATCCTCTATTACTCCTTCTACTTGTTCCTCAAGCAAGCAGTGCCTGGCTGATTCCTCAGAGAACAGGTGTACAATTCCAACTGAATCCATCATTTCACTTGGCAATGCTCAAAGCAATATTCTGATGCAGCAAACACATGTAGATAGACCCCCTTTCTGATGGGCATGCATAAATCAGGCTTCAAAGCCACGTGTGCTCCAGCAACACTCAGTTCACCACACAGGTTTAGTTGTACACAAATATGAGGTCTTTCAGGAACCAAACAGTTACTACAATATTCAAATATACACTCACAACTATTTTTCAGACCTCTCTGATCTGTGGCTTTCTCAAGTTTTTGGCATATAAGAATCCAATTTGAAAGACTGAATGTAAAACCGATATGGACTTGCTTTTTACTGACTCACAAAATCCTACAAACTCATTGATAAGCTCCTGAGGACCAAAGGTTGGAAGCTGTTGAGTAAAATGCCTCATTATTTGATTTAGTCCTTAGCAGAGCAACCACTTGTCTCTTTTTAAGGGAAGATGTTAGATTTGATTGACCTGGCCTGAGTGTCTCTGGAAGGTTTCTCCACAGATTGTCTCACTGATGCTCAGGGAAGGTGTGCACACTTCCAGGAAGAGCCTTTGCCCCAGCTCTTGGCTACATGCCATTAATTCCCATGACCCAGGATCACCTGCTTCTTCTTTTAGGGAATGAGTTTTAAGAAAGGGGCTGCAAAGTTTACTGAATTTTGGTGGAAAGTATTGGTAAAATCATCTCAGCCCCACGTTGGATCCTGAGCAGTTTTGTTTGCATGGTATTTAGGGGATTTGTGCTCTCCCAGTTCATGCTAACATTGTGCATGATTAGGGGAGCTGGTACACAATGTTTGTCCCTCTTCCAGTTCCACACCAGTCAGGATACAAACTTCTCATTCAAAAAAAGAAAAGCAGAGATCATTAAAGTATCAAAGCACAGGGACCACCACTTGGAACAGATTATGATGTTTAAAAGAACTATAAAAGAAAAGGTTTATCTCAAAAGAAAGTGCTCTGGTGCTTTCAAAGGTCTGAGTTCTCAGGTCCTAGACAATGCCCAGGTGGACATCTCAATTTTGCTATTATATGCTTCCGGTATCTTTTAAAGAAGCTTGGTAAGGTGTCCCTGTGAAGATTTCTACATGACTGTAAACCTCAGAACTCTCTCTCATCAATTCCTCAGAGTGCATCTCTGCTCTGCCCAAAGAAGCAAGAAATCATTTCCAAGGTGAGCTGCAAAGCTTGCACCAAAAAAAAAAAGGTCTGAGTTCTCAGGTCCTAGACAATGCCCAGCTGGACATCTCAATTTTGCTATTATATGCTTCTGGTATCTTTTAAAGAAGCTTGGTAGGTGTCCCTGTGAAGAAGTCTACATGACTGTAAACCTCAGAGCTCTCTCTCATCAATTCCCCAGAGTGCATCTCTGCTCTGTCCAAAGAAGCAAGAAATCATTTCCAAGGTGAACTGAAAAGCTTGCACAAAAAAAAAAACAAACAATGAGGAATAAGCAATAAAAAGCAAAGTAAATGGCAGCACTGATGCTCAGGGAGTTAGTGTCTAGTTCAGGAGTATCCACATCTGAACCCACCAGGAGTATCATGCCAATTAGTAGCTTAATTAGGGCTGAGAAACATTAACTTGTTCCTAATGAAGTCAAAAGGATATTGATCATTCATTTAAGCAGGAGCAAAACTGAGTGTGTCTCTAGCCTATTTAAAGAAATTTCTTGGTAATATAATCATTTCCTTCTCTTGGCAGGCAAAGGAATTCAGCACTTAAATCTGTTTGTCACTCCTGAAAGTCCCTAAGTCCCTTGGACCATCAGTGGCATTAGCTGGCATTTGGAAATAGGACTCCAGCTTCTGAAAAGCTTGTTTGCTTTGGAAAATTGTCTCCTCACTCCATCTGCAGTCCCATGGCTTTGCCTAGGGAAAGACTGAAGGATCTGTCAATAGTGACCTGTCTGTGTAGACTTTCAAGGTTGGTATTTTAAAACAGCTTCTCCTTTAATTTTGGGAGCAGGGCCGATGATGTCTTAGTAAGGAGATGTAGATGTTCAACTTACTTGAGAAAGTAGGTGTCATGTATTTGTACTACTAATGGTGAAATAGTCACTAATCTCAGCATTTAGGATGGTATCCTACCAATAAATGCTCAAATGGGGTGGGAAAAGTTAAAGCAGTAACTGTGCCTTTCTCCAAAGCTTCAGTACACATGGTCTCATCCCACGTTGAGCACAGAGTAAGCACATACCCTTCTTAAGGACTGGGATGTGGAAAGGGGAGCTTTAGAGTTCAGCTTTCACACCTGGTGTCCTCTCTTCAGTTTTAACAGTAAAACACAACTGCTGGCTGATCCCTCCCAGTCCTGCTGTGGTGCTTAAAGGCCAGACAGATTGTCCCTTTGTCCTGCTCTGGTCTACAAGTATTTGATTTTCGATTCTCACTCAATTATACACGTCTGGACTACTCAACTGGAGACACTAGCTCTTTCTCTCTCAGATTTCTACAGTCACAAACCTTATTGCTCCCATCCCTACACAACTGGGAGAGGAGCAATCACAGCACAAAACAGTATTTGACGAACTGAATGCAGTGAACTGGGGATGTGAGTGTGAATGTCCCCATGACTGTCCATTAACGTTTTCTGATGGTTGGCTCACACTAACAGGTTTGAAACACCCCAAACAGCATCAGAGCAACACGACTCTACAAATCTTCTACCCCTTCCAGGAACAACCCCCATGAATAAAGATATTCTCTCGCCTGCATTACCATTGCCACATCTGCTTGGAAGATCTGCTTGATGAATTTGTTTTTTGAGGAGTGCACCAGCTGAATGATGTCTCCATGCAGCGTGTCCCTGTTTTTCTCCAAGAAACCTAGAGGAATAATGGGAAAACACATAGATGACACAGTGTAATGTGGCCAGGATGTGCCCTGCGAGCAGCTTCTGGGTTGCTGGACTACTGGCTGTTCTTGGGGAGGTAATGGGAGTAATGAACGGGCAGAGGAAGGAGGACCAAGAGAAGGAAGAAGAGGTGCACCTTGAGGCTTGATCAAAGATGCATGTGGTGCAAAGCACTGCAATTCTGTCATGGGCACACAAAAAAACAGCACCAAACTCTATAGCTCATGGGCACCACTGAAGGGCCAAGTCATTGCAGCTAGAGAAGGAGGACGCTGACACTACTATGGGCTACCATCCTGCTCTGCTCCAATGCAGCAGCAGCAGCTCACCTTCCCCTGAGCATCTCCTCACACCTGCAGTGCCCCAGAAGCTGCCCCCATACCTTTTGTTTCGTAGTAAACAATTCCAGCAAAGTGGTTAATGCCAAATTGGGTTTCATAGTTATTCTTCGGAGGAATATAGTTGGTGTTAAGCTTGTGCTGGGAGTTCAGCTTGTGTAACATGGTGGCATCTGTGCCCTGTGTGTGCAGGAAAAGATCTGACATTTAACCAGAGTTTATACCATTAAAATAATTTTCCAATCAATAGTGCATTTCTTTTTTGCCTTGGGTGACAATGCCTATTTATTTTGGGAAAAGATGTGTTGGAGGGGATAACTGAAGTGCAGAAATTAAGAAAATTTACTAAATATCACTGGTATGTCATCCTCTATTCAAGGTAGTGCTCCAAGGGGAGTATATTTAACATTATTTTCTTAAACTTTGTCAAAGGCTATTTTTGAGCCTCTTGCAGGCGTACTCTTCCATCAGAAATGGAACCATGCTTTAAGCATGGTTGTGGTACTCATGGAAGAAAATGTATCAGAGCAATAAAAACTATGAATAGGCAACTCACTGGTGAATGTGTGCTTGGGGCTGATCACACCTCTCATAGGATGCCAGCATGCAAGTGCAAATGGGGTAAAAACAGGAATGTCACTGGCTGAAGCAGGGCTGAGCCCAAAACACACCTTAGGGAACTTGCTCTCCTCGTCAATGAGGGAGATAATGTTCATGGGCTTGATGGCAATCATATCCAAGGCATCCTGGTTATCAGTGAACTCGATGTGCTGCCAGTTGATGTTCTCCAGGTTGTACTCCTCCTGCTCTAATTTGAAGACGTGGCGTACGAAGAACTGCTGCAGGTTTTCATTTGCAAAGTTAATGCAAAGCTGCTCAAAACTGTGAAGGGAAGGTCAAGGAAAGGCCACTTTAGATCCACCATGGTCCGTCTTTCTCCACCTCTCTCCATGCATGAAGCAGTACTCTCAGACTACATCAACCAATCAGCAAGGTTGTTGTTGACTGAGAAGTTTCTTATTGGTTCCGATGATTGGAACCAAAACAATGTTATAGCCATTATACATATGTAGCTTAAACCAACCAGTTTAGGAAATGTTTTCTGCTACAACATAAAAGTGATTGAGCTTTCAAGGCCAGATTGGATGAGGCTTTGAGCAACCTGGTCTAGTAGAAGGTGTCCCTGCTGATGGCAGGGGGGTTGGAACTGCATGAGCTTTAAGGTCCCTTCCAACCCAAACCATTCTATGATTCTATGATTAACTCTGATAATCTGTCATACAGAAAATTACTTGGCCAAGCCTAGTCCTGCTCATCTCAGGAGATGCGAAAGGACTACAAGACCTTGAGCTTGGGGTGGTGCAGGAAGGTTAAGACCTGGTTCTTATTTTGCAGACTCCATACCTGTTCACAGTGAAGTTCTCAAAACCAAATATGTCAAGGAGGCCGATGGATCTCCTGACACTTTTGAGTTCCTGGGAAGGAGGTCTGTAAATTGCAGCATTGATCTTCTCCACGATCCACACGAAAAGTCTCCCATAAATTCCCTGCAATATCCCAAAGATGCAAGTCTCTGAGATGGGTTAACAGTTCACCCTGCTAGTGTGTGGCACTACTTCACTCGTGACAACACAGGTATGATAGTTTAACTTAGCTGGCAGCCAAACAAGACACAGCCACTTGCAGCCCCCCCTTCCTACCCTCCCTACCCAGGGAATTGGGGAGACAACTGGAGGGGTAAAGGTGAGGAGACTTGTAGGTTGAGATAAGAACAATTAAATAATTAGAGTAAAAATGAAATTAAAATAATAAGAATAATAAGAGCAATAATGATAACAACTATATATAGAGAGATATAAATGAGTGATGCAGAGTACAATTGCTCACCACCCGCTGATAACGATCCTGGAGGGGTGAAAAGGAACCCTGAACCCAAAACTGCAATCCTGGAAAAGCAAGCCTGAGCAATTCCCAAGAGAACTGTGCCCCCTTTCTGGTCAGCCCTGGATAATACACTAAACATGATGTGATATGATCTGGAATATTTCATTGGCACATCCAAATGCCAGTTTGGGGTTTGCTATTCACTCCACTTCTCCGTCCCAGTCCTAATGCAGCTGTGAACCAGCCAAACACGATGGCCTTGAGCTCCAGCACCAACTAATAACATCAGTACTTTATCAACATTCCTCTCATAACAAGCTAAACTAAAACACACCTGTTCTAATTACTAAGAAGAAAATTAACTCTATCCTAGCAAAACCAAGACAACAGGCTCCCCCTAAAGCATGGCCAGCAACTCGACAGTCCCTGAGGACACGCTCACCAACATTTATGCTAGACTCTTGGCATGGTTTAAAGCTTCAAGAGCCTTTATGTAGATCAAGGAAAATGGACCTGAAACCTTAGATAAAAGACAAGTGAAAGCAAAATCCCAAATTTGGATAGTCCTAAATTTTGAATCTATAGGCTTGCTGTAAAGCCACACAGTCCTTTCCTTGGTTTCTGAACATCTCTCTCTACAGATCAGCAAAGCTCTCTAGTTACTGCTAGACAAGCCAAGGACAGCTCGTCTGAACAATGTGCTGACATAAATGATGCAGCCCTGGCTGGACAGTTTGCTGATTTAATGAACCAGCTACTGCTGCTTCAGTAATTCCAGAACTCCGTGTTTTACAGCATTACTCATTTCTTTTGTATCAGTTACAGCAGTGCTACCAGGAAGGGAGCCTGATTCAAAGGCCCATCACCATAGAGAAGTGGTTGTCTGGATTTACAGACTACTTAGGTATCAAATCAGCTAGCTTGATCTACCACTTCCCCATAGATAGAGTGGAGGGCTCAAGTTGGCCAAAGCATGCCACCAATGCTTGTATGCAACCTGACATGGGGCTGCAAACAGCACAGCAGTAATGCACACTCACCCCATCAATCTTCATCACCCCGAAGCCTCAGGTGATGCTCTAAATGCTCTGATGGCTACTGAACTGTTCTATCCCCTTTCCTGTGACATTCTGTTTTATTTACTGCTGCAGACATGCCCAAATCTTGAAATTCAGGTGTGGGTGCTACAGGTGTTGATAGAGCTGCTTTGATTTATAGCAGCTGAGGATCTAATGCTGGGGCTCAAGCTGGGATGTTTTCCTGAAGTTGAGGTGAAGTCGTTTCAGTATGCTGGCTCTTTCAACAGGTCATCTTTGACTATAGACAGTCCCAAATCCAGATTGCAAATCCCCTGAAGAGCAGGTTATCTAGACTTCTTCCATCTCAACTCTTGGTGCATCCCAATGAGAACATAATTTCAAGGCCATCTGTTGATCTGAGCTCACAAGAGCACCAGCCAAGACACTTTTCCTGTGCAGTGGATGCTCTGGTCTCAAAAGTGGCAGATTTCTTCAGCTTATGAACGTGAGCAGAAGGGAATGCTTTAAGACTTACCTTTACAAAAGCGTCCCTCACATCCAGAGCTTGTTCCATGCTGAGAGGGGTGGAGACAGTCTCACCCCTGGTGATTATAGTCCGGCTGGTAAGGCAGTTCATCACATCTTGAGGGTCAACCTGGCAAAGACACCACCAACCACAGCTGCTGACTTTATAACAAAAGGTGTCCTTACAATGGCCTGGGCTACTGGCCTGAGCATGCATGGCTGGTGCAGCTCTCCATGGCTGGAGGTAAATAACTTCTCTTAGATGTACAGGGCAAATATCTCAAATGATGTCCAAGGCATTTTGAGAGAGAGTAATTAAAATCATTATACAGTATTTTATGCTGGAAATTGTTCCTGTGACTTAGTGTGACATGTTAACGTGGGGTGGGGAGAGAAGATGAAAAAGCAAAGCCTGCAAAGCTGTATCCTACCAGCATGAATGTAGCTTTGCATCTCCTTGACCCCTTTTCATACTTCTGAGATCAAACCAAGGAAGAGTCCACCCCCTAAAGTACATTAAACCAGCCTGTAGATAGCATAGATCACACTCTGGGACCAGCAGTGCCTATGGAGATGAGATGGTGTCCATGAGAGAGCCCTGTTACCTGCTGGGGAGGCCACTGCATGGATGGTTTGGGTGAGGACCATCTCACCTCACTTCAGAGACACACAGTATAGTTGAAAACTCTGTCTCAGGCACTGTAATGAACTCTCTTTACATTAATGTGGAAAACATTCTATTTTAGGGACCGAACTATTCTGGATACCCTTTTTAGGACCATGTGCCACCAAAGTGTCTGTTTCTCTCCACTGGTGTGAAGGGAAGCTCAGATCACAGAATCATAGTGGTTGGAAAAGAACTTTAAGATCACCAAGTCCAACCATAAACCTCACACTACCAATTCCACCTCTAAACCATGCCTCTCAGCATCTCTTTTAAATACCCACCAGGGATGGTGACTCCACCACCTCCCTGGGCAGCCTGTTCCAATGCTTGACTACCCAGCTTAGATGGAGACACCCACCATGATGCTGGCAGTGCAGGGCAAAGTATGGCTTACCCAGGGCTCTCCAGCCTCCTAGAACTGGAGGTGCAAGAAGAGCCTGGCTCAGATATAGGTTTGCCACCATACTGGGAATATGGGAAGAAGCCATAAAGGGGACAACAGCACTGCAGAGCCACTGACCTCCAGCAACGATGCTGCAGTGATTAGCGATGCCGACTGAACAACCTCGCAGGCATCCAGGTTGTCATAGGTCCGAGCTGGGAGAAGCAAGGCAGAGGGAGAGTCATCAGCAAGGGATGTGGTAGATGGGGTGAGGGAAAGGGTCTTTCTCCACTGGTTCCACATGATGGCCAGACCATCAGAATGGAGAGAAAAGTTCATGCAGCTGCTGGAGTCCTGCTGCTCTGCCAGCCACCCTAAATGACTCATGGGGTAAATACATTTCTAGCAGGTAAGTGCTTCAGGCTTCTGTCTTCCAAAAAGGCTTTTTAAGTCAGCGTGTCATTTCTGACAGCAGGGTGGTTTTGTACCTTCACAAAGGCATATCCAGTCATACAGGCACCTGTCAAACACTCCATTAGCCTCTTCTTGCAAAAAGTGAGTCTACTGAATGGCCTGAGGCCATATTCAACCTCCCTAAATTCAGGAAAGGTGGATGTCACCGAGCATACTTGAGTCTAGCAGCCCTGCAGAGTCAGCAGTTGGACTTATTGCTCCTTTACTATCCTTGTGCACCACTATGAACATCTGAGTTCCTGGCGTGGTACCATGGCAGGTGATCTGGATACAGCCCTCCATCCCGTGCAAAATAAAGAGTAGAAGTGTGCTGGACAACTTCCCTGTATTTTATCCTCTTACCTTCATATTGCAGGTTCCCCATGTGCAGGATGGCAGCCAGCAGCTTGGAGATCTCCCAGTTCTCCGTGTCGGTGAACATAAGGACCTTCATTGCCGAACGGATATTGGCGTACTCCTTGCTATCATCTCTGCCGTCGCAGGTTGTGCAGTTACCCTGAGGAGGTGAAGAGGTTGCACAGGATATGGGGTAAAGCAGAGAGCATCTGGTTGTAACCCTAAGATATCCAGGACTTCCCTCTAAATCAGTAGATATTTTGTTTAAGGGTTGGATAAGCAGAAGTTGACGTTGAACCTGTGGGTCTGGCTCTGCCCTTTGGTGTATACTATGATTCAGTGGTCAGCCTTGTGACCTGCACTTACCCTGCTGTCCCCAGCTACCCTGTGTCTGGCTGCAATCAGCA